TCTTGAGAGAAGACCAAGAGGAAAGCTAATAGGGTAGTCAGGCCAAAATATTCTTCTCCTCGTGAGAAATTAGACAGAACTTATGATGACAAAGTTCTTCTGGCATTGGCCGAGAAAGTTCATCCAGATTTTCCGGCGTGGTTCCCCCTTGTCAGTGATGCAGGACGGAGGGCCTGACAAGGACAGCTGTCTAGTCCTTCGGATGAGACGAAAAACCGAGGTCCCGTGTATACATTGGAATGCACGTAAAAGATCCCTTGGCAGTTGGAATTCGATATAAGAGTAGGCGATAGTGCCGCTGCCCGGGCAAAATTTCCCTCATAGCACACTGTATGGCGTATGCCCGTCTTCATTAGCCCAGGTTAGGAGCAGAACAGTAGGACGTTAAACCCCATTTCATTTCATTTCATTTTCAAGGTTCTTCTGATTTACAGCGCATGCGTTAGACCACAGTCACCACACGGCCATTTTACCCCCTCGAGTAATCCAACAAAGTAAAAAAATATATCTTTTAAATCGGCTAATTAGCATAATATCAGGTCTAAAACAGCGATACGAGCCTTATAAATAAACAAATAAATAAAGAGGAGTACAGGTATGTCATGCCAATAGATCAGGCCATTTGTGGAGTTATTGGCGGGCTGTGGTCGAGAGAGTTCCTCGGTATTTCCGGTAAGGTTTGCCCATGTTAGTGGTGTATGGCGGAGGACCTTGCATGGAGGTCCCGGGTTCGTTCTCCATGTTGGTCGAGAAAGTTTCTTGGGATTTCCGGCAAGGTTTGCGCTTCTTAGTGGTGTATAGCGGAGGCCCTTGCAAGGACAGCGTCTAGTCGTTCGGATGGGACGCAAAACCGAGGTCCCGTGTATACATTGGCGTGCACGTAAAAGATCCGTTTACACATTGACAGTTGGAATTCGGGATAATAAGAGTAGACCGTATCGCCGGGTAAAGGTTCCCTCATAGCAGACTTAAAGGGAAAGACCAACGATTTTCAACAAGGTTTCCATAAACTTTAAATATATATTGATAAATAATCCCCTCTGTAACACAAGCAAAAAAGTTTTTGTAAGTAAAAAATTATTTTTTTATTCAAACCGGAAGTGACATAGTTGGTTCAACGCGCTCACTGGGCTCTATAGTAGGCATACAGATTTGGCATACTTTTACTGCTGTATTGGGTTCACGCGTCGTCCTTTGGTCAAAAATCTGATCAAATGGACTGTTTATTAGGATATTATAAACACGAATTTATATTTTTTAACGTTTAGTACACAAATTTGCCGTCGCGTAAATTCACCCATACTAAACAGCACGCTGTGCCTCAATTTACGCCACATGGCTAATTGTTTACATCCCGTGGTTTGATTGACAGCTTGCAAGTGAAATGTATTTCGCCTGCTTCGATGTTTTTGTGCGTGCTGACAGCGCTTTTCAACATGAACAGATCAAAATTATGGGCACGTGAGACATATAATATATAGTGCATTTTGGCACATAATGTCGACGTAAACGGCTTTTCCTTTTTTCTTCCATTTCCTCTTGAGAATGGCTGGGCTCGAATGTTTATACGGCATTACTGTAGACCCATAGAAGAGATATTTTATATTCCAATACGTTGGTGTCTGACGTTGACATATTTTGGAAATTTATATATATATTTGAATATGTATATGTGCCACAAGTCCGTTGAAATAAAAAAAAAACACTGTCAGCAGTCTCACCACCCACAAAAACATTCAAGCAGACGAAACATCTCTCACTTGCAAGCTGTCAATTAAACCACGTGATGTAAACAATTGGCCATGTGGCGTGAATTGAGTCACAGCGTACTGTTCAGTATGAGTGAACTTACGCGACGGCTTTGTGTACTAAAAAAACATAAATTCGTGTTTATAATATCCTAATAAACAACCCATTTGATCACATTTTTGGCCAAAAGGACGAGGCGTGAACACAAAGCAGTAAACTTGTGCCAAATTTGTATGCTTACTATAGAGTCCAGTGAGCGTGTTGAAGCAACTATGTCACTTCCGGTTTAACAAAAATTAATTTCTGGCTTACAAAAACTTTTTTGCTTGTGTTACAGAAGGGATTTTTTATCAATATATATTTAAGATTTATGGAAACCTTGTTGAAATCGTTGGTCTTCCCCTTTAATGGCGTTAGTTCATCTTCATTAGCCACGCCAGTGCAATAAGGACGTAGGACATTAAACACTGTTTCATTTCATTTCGTTACATATATCGAAGAATCACAAATACATTAAATAAACGTGAGTGAATCTTATATTCAGTTACCATGACAACAATTACACACAATGTTTAAATTTACGCTTCAAGAAAATTTGTTATTAAAAAGAGAAGATTCTTTTATTGCATTCAGGTTTTATATGAAAAATCCCCCCAAAAAATCGAAATTTCTCGCTTTCAGGTTTTATATAAAAAAGATTTCGATATTTCTAGCTAACTAAAAAAATTGGTTAAAACACATTTTACAAATAACAGTGAGTTCTTATATTGCACACAGATCCATTAAAGTTAATGCTCAAGGCGCATGTATATATATATATATATATTATAGATGTTAATAAACATCATCTGTAAAAGATTTTTTGAAACTCTTTTAACAGAGGGCAAATGTTTTTTTTATCCTTATTGTACCGTTAATAAACTTTATTCAAATACAATCTGTCATAGTTGGTTGAAAACAGTCTCAACTCCCTGTCAATAGGCCCCCTGCGCCCACCCTTTTAGGCCCCAATACAACTCTATTTCAATATATAGGAATCAATCGACTCGCGTAGGAGAGGTAAATATTTAAAACGATCCTAACCTATGTATTTTGTAACTAAACCTATGAAGTGGCCTAAACCAGCATCACCTGACAACATATATCAAAGAGTTAGGCAGTACGCTACAATATCTAATCCCTCTCTTTCCTCACCCCACCTCCCCTCACCCCACCTCCCCTGACCCCTTTCAACAAAACTGCGTCAGGGCCCCACATATTTCATATAAATGTAATCGAAAGCCTTCAGGTGGTCAATAAAATAACATGGAATGCGGTTCGATGTTTTTGTACCATCATGGCTAATGACGACGCGCATACGACATGTAGAGTGCTAGGGAAGATTAGGGAGAGAGAGAGAGAAATGGGGTTTAACGTCCACTCGACACAAACTAGGTCATTTCGGGACTAACATAAGGTTTAATTTTATTTCAATAATTCGCTTGCGCATAGGGGTCATTAGCAGTGGGAGGAAACCGGGGGACCCGGAGAAAACCCACGAGGTTGGACAGGCGCCCCTACTCCTTGTCACGTACAACCGGGGATTCGAAACCACGCCAGTCGACTCAATGACAGAGCAACTCCAGCCTACTAATTACAGCACGCATAGGACATCTAGAGTGCTATGAGGGGTCGGACCTCTCGCCTATCACTGACAACACGCATAGGACACGTAGAGTGCTATGGGGGGCGGGGGGGGGGGCAACTCCCGTCTACCAAGAACGACACGCATAGGACATCTAGAGTGCTATGAGGGGTCGGACCTCCCGCCTATCACTGACAACACGCATAGGACATGTAGAGTGCTATGGGGGGCGGGGGGGGGGCAACTCCCGTCAACCAAGAACGACACGCATAGGACATGCAGAGTGCTTTTGTGAGGGGAGGCAACTCCCGCCTTCCTTTCTTTCAATTCCAATTGCTAAGGGTTCCTTTAGGTGTTCACCAATCTGTGCACGGGGCTTCGTTTTTTTTTCTGAAAAACGACGAGACGCTGCCTCACTGACAAAGAGAAGCCAGGCTCGAACATTCCGGGGAACTTTCTCGGCGAACACTAGGATCGGACTCAGAACATCCTGGCTTGAGAGTCCGTGTCTTACTGACACAACATGCTGTGAAGGTCGAAGGGTGATTGACATGGTGTGTGGACTAATCGTGGTAAGGTTGCTAAGATAAAACAAATATAGCTTTTTGGGTGGTGGTGGTGGTGGTTTTGGAATACCTGCTTACACAATAGTGTTACTAATATATCATGGGTAAGGATGAGGGTTCATTTCTTGGGTAATGCTAATTAGTGTTTAACGTATGCTTACACAATAGTAATATCGCATGGGTAAGGTTTAGGCTTCATTTCTTGGGTGGTGCTAATTGATGTTTAATGTATGCTTATACAATAGCGGAAATGACTGGGTAAGGGTTAGGGTTCATTTCTTGGGTGGTGCTAATTGATGTTTAATGCATGCTTATACAATAGCGGAAATGACTGGGTAAGTGTTAGGGTTCATTTCTTGGGTAAATGCTGATTGGTATTTAAGGGTGAGGGTTCATTTCTTAGGTAATACTAATTAGTGTTTTACGTCTGCTTGCACAATAATGATATCGCATAGCCATAGGTTAGGGGTAGGGTACATATCTTGGGCTTCATGATTTCTGTTTATCAAAACTACATACTGTTTCTCTGAGTGGAAATAAATATATAGAATACTGCTATGTTTATAGAAGTCAGGGGTATGTGTTAACCTATAGAATACTGATAGAATACTGCTATGTATACAGAAGTCAGGGGTATTTGTTAACATATAGAATACTGCTATGTATACAGACGTCAGGGGTATTTGTTAATATATAGAATAGGCCTACTGTTATGTGTACAGAAGTCAGGGGTATTTGTTAACATATAGAATACTGCTATGTATACAGACGTCAGGGGTATTTGTTAAGAATTCGGTTATGTATATAATATATATAAGTAAGGGGTATTTGTTAACATATAGAATGCTGCTATGTATATAGAAGTCAGGGGTATTTGTTAACATATAGAATACTGCTATGTATATAGAAGTCAGGGGTATTTGTTAACATATACAATACTGTTATGTATATAGAAGTCAGGGGTATTTGTTAATACTGTTATGTATATGTATACAGACGTTAGGGGTATTTGTTAATAAAACACTTCTGGGTCAACACTTTATTATTGAAAAGATAATTTCTTGATGAACAAAATGTTTTTTAATAATGGACTATTTAAACTTGATTATTATTACTGAAGGAATCAAATTTCTCACGTAAATTAAATCCATTGTCTGCTTTTTGGAATTTAGGCACAGAACAATATTGTCTGAGGAAAGTTTCGCGGAATTTAGTACTCATAGAACAGTAAAGTACAAAATTGACGGCATTGTTAACCAGGGCAACAATATCCATAATATCACCTAGGGGTAAATATACCGTATCAAAGAAATTCTTTTTACAAGCACTTAACACAATTAAAACACCTTGCGGTAGTTCCGTAACAATAAACAACACGATCACTGATATGAGCATCTTTGTTGTCCGAGAGTGTTCCCGTAGCTTAATGCCACTCGATCCGCTGAATTTGGCTATGATGCTTCTTCTCTTCCGTACTTGGACCTGCATTTGATACAGGAGCATACAGCCGAAGACGGTGATTAACAAACACGGAGTGAGTTTAGCCACAACAGCGTACATCCACACATTAATGAGGACCAGGGGTCCCGTGTCGTTTTTGCCTAATCTTAAGCTCTCCAGGACGTATAGCGTTGAATTGGTTTCGTTGTTGGATATCTGAACGGGTTTGAGTTCATTTGTTAAATAATTGGGAACCATGACGACCACTGAGGCAAAGTAAACTAGCAACACCAGATACTTGGACTGCTTTATCCGAGCTATCCGTATAGATCTGGCACGAGTCGGAGAACGAATGTGCAAGAATCTGATGATGGATAGCGATACACAGAGCCATATAGAAATAGTATGAGTTACCGTTGTCAAGTTGATATGGAACAACAGAAAGGTCATCCAATAAATGCTGTTCTTCTCTGGAGTACTGACATCCGTCGGATAAACACAATAAAAATGAATGGCAAAAGGCACATACGATAGCATGGTGGTAATATCTGAGATTGCTAATCCAGTTAAGATGTGATTTACTGGAGTATGCATGTGTTTACGAGTCAGTACCGTTACGTTGAATATATTTAACAATATCCCGGACATACAGACGCACAGACTGGCGTAACCATGGAAAGCTGAATACCAGGAGGAGAAGTTTTCAAGGCCCGGGTTGACCTGTGGCCTATCCACCATCTTGATATCAGCGGATGGACCGCATCTTACACTATTCTCCAGGTACCTGAAACACACAAATATTCCACCATTAAATCAGCATTTATTTTGTAATCGTTAGAGATCTAAAACTACTTACCACGTCTTCATGAGTACAGTCTAGTCGTTCGGATGGAACAAAAAACTGAGGTCCCGTGTACACATCGGCTTGCATGTTATGGAATTCGTAGGAAATTCAACATCTCTAATCCTACTTACCCCGTCTTCAGTAGTACAGTCTAGTCGTTCGGATGGAACAAAAAACTGGGGTCCCATGTACACATCGGCGTGCATGTTATGGAATTCGAAATGATAGTAGGGCGTAGTGCCACTGTCCGGGCAAAATTCCCTCGTAAGAATTCAACATCTCTAATCCTACCTACCCCGTCTTCATTAGTACAGTCTAGTCTCTAGTCATTCAGATAGAACAAAAATCTGATGTCCCGTGTACTCATCGGCGTGCATGTTAAAGAACCACTGACAATTGGAAGTCGCAATGAGATAAGACTGTACTGCCACTGTCCGGGCAAAATTCCCCCGTATAGAACATTCAACGCCATCTCTTCTCTAATCGTACTTACCTCGTTATTAGAAAAGTAAAACGTTCAACATCATTTAATATTGTAATACTATTGTAAGACCATATTGTATCTTTAGCTAACTATTTGGTTCACACTTTCTATAGAGTCAATGTACTAAAGAAAGTGAATGATATATTTTTATATAAAAAAAAACAGTGATATTTTAGTAAAATCCTTACCATTGACAAAATATCCATCACATTTTACCTTGTTTATGACGTGTGTTTGGTAGACCAAATAAGGTAAAATTCTCCCCTCGGTCTTTGGGGAATGGGGTTGTTTATTCCAGATTTGGGAATGAAATTAACGTCACGGTCAGTCTATGACATACAAAAATTAGAGTGTTATAAAAGAGGATGTTGAGCGAAATTGAACCGAGCTTACCCAGCAGCCATTATCTATGCTTTATTGAGAAGGAGGACCTTCAAAGCTGAACAGTTTAATAATAAAGTTGTAGCAACAACTAACCTGTAGTTTTATTTACGATCACGAAGAAACCACAACAAGGAAGTCCGATAATTACAACAATCTCTAATCCTACTTATAAAGTGTTTATCACTCCATTTAATATAGGTCTTCCACAAAACAAAGGATTGATTAATATGCTCGTTATGATATAACACATAACACTATTTCGGTTCCTAAACATGAATTATCTCTTTTAAGTTGCCTGACTTCATTAGTTCAGTCGGCGAGGAAAAGTAGACATGTTATAACCACATTTCATTTCATTTCATTTCTATTAGGTTGCTAGAAGTTGGTCTTCAGTAATGACACTTTAACAGACAGTAACTACTTCGTGTTAAATAACAGGTATTAGCCTGAAAACGTTGAGAGAATACTCTTAGAAACGTCGCCTAAATAAACCAGTAGCTGTTTTCAAGCTTGAAAACGTTGAGAGAATACTCTTCGAAACGTCGCCTAATAAATCAGTAGCTGTTTTCAAGCTTGAAAACGTTGAGAGAATACTCTTAGAAACGTCGCCTAAATAAATCAGTAGCTGTTTTCAAGCTTGAAAACGTTGAGAGAATACTCTTCGAAACGTCGCCTAATAAATCAGTAACTGTTTTCAAGAAGAATGTTTATAGTTTATTTATCTGCCCAGTTACTAAATGCCACTTAAAGAATACTTCATGTTAGTACCGATGACCCGAAAGATTAACAGGTGATATAGGTAATATAAAGTAATTAGTAGGTAGATAAAAGATATGTTATCATCGATAACTATATATAAAGAGAAAATTAAAATATGGTTTAACTGTTCTGCCCCGAACTGGGTTAATGAAGACGGGCATACGTCATACAGTATGTTATGAGGGAAATTTTTCCCGGACAGTGGCACTACTACGGCCTACTCTCAAATCGAATTCTAACTGTCAATGGGTCTTTTACGTGCACGCCAATGTGTACACGGGACCTCGGTTTTTCGTCCCATCCGAATGACGAGAGAGCTGTCCTTGTCAGACCCTCCATACTTCATCACTGACAAGGGAGAACCACGCCGGAAATTCAGGATGCATTTTCTCGACCAATGCAGGGATCGAACACGCGACCTCCAGGATAGCGAGCCAGTGTCTTACCCCTTCGCGACAGATAGATAGATTATAATGTGTACTAAATGAATAAGTACATAACGGTCTCCGGTCAGACATAGTCACCAAAAGACAAACCTGTCTCAATTCACTTCAAAAACCCAAATCATGACATTTTTGATCTCACTGTCACGACAATAGAAAAGAATAAGAATGCCTTAGAAACTCCAGAAGAAATTAAAACGTTTAATCTCTGGATTGACAAATTGGAAACAACAGTCCCCTAGGTTTGAATATTTCTACTGCTAGCGCAAAAAGCCCCTATTGTAGTACCATAATAGCGCAACAGCAGCAATCATCAGAAAAATCTATACCGATCTCCAAGAAAAATTACCCGAAAATCGTCACGCAGAAACTTATATTTGCATATTCTAAAAATTAAAATCTGAACGACTAATTAAGACCAGTCCCAGTCCACACCCTAACCCAAAGCAAACAATATATCAAACCCTAGCCCTAAACCGGGGACAGTGAAACAAATTCATTTTTAGAAAATCAAATCTTTGGTAGGAAACGCACTAATGTGGCTTTCACCCGAGAGCCTCAACTTTATTTTTTTTCTTCAGAAACAAAAATACCAGAATACCACAAGTACCACCAACACCAAAAACAGCGAAACAAAACTATGTATATAAATCTAATGTATTGTATGTATTTTTATAAAATCAGGAAATATCACGAACTGAATTTTCATCAGCCTAGGTCAGTGCTTATATGGAGACCTAAGCTTAAACCTAACCCTTGACCTAGCCAAAATGCTTACCCTAACATCGACCTACAATCTCGCAAACAATGACGTGTCCGAACCTTATTTATATCTCAGCGACCTTGACGAAAATTGAGCTGGCCTTAGCAAATAGATTTAGCCTATAATAGGTTAATCACGTGTACAAAGATTCCTCAAGATACATAAAACGGTCTATGCGACATGTTCCGGAAGCCATTATGCATACTTTAAGCAAAAAGTAAAACCTTGAACAACTACACTAAGTCGATGCTTGGGAGGTTTATGGGATGTTGTGAGGATGTGGATGACCGAATGGTTAGCGCGTGCGCGATGCATCATGAGGTCTGTCATTGAGTCAATTGGCACGGTTTCAATTCCCCGTTTGTACGTGACAAGGAGTAGCCTGTCCTACCTCGTGGGTTTTCTCCGGGTCCTCCGATTTCCTCTCATTGCTAAAAATCAATACGCGCTATTATTGAAATAAAATTGAACCATATGCTTGTCCAGATATGACCTAGTTTGTGTCGAGTGGACGTTAAACCCCATTTTTCTTCTCTCTCTCTCTCTCTCTCTCTCTCTCTCTCTCTCTCTGAAAGGTTTAGGTGATGATCACCGACAATAAATTAAGGACGAAAGCTCGGACGAAGTTCATTTCAATATCCGTCTCTTAACTTAAGTTGAAGTTTCCACAGAGTTCCATAAAGATATCTTGAACGATTTATGGGGTGTACTCCGGAAACAAAATAAGAACGGAAGTGAGAACGGGCGGTGTGTATCTCGATGTTCCTTCCTTGCTCGTTTGTCGCCGGTTAAGAATTAGTCTTTATATGACACAGAGCAATAATGTTTCTTGTACCGGAAGTATAGCTGTGACATGCTGTGATCTGGTGACACATAGTATTTGGACACCGGACACGATTAATTCCTACGCCGGTTACTCACGAATCTAGTGCAAATGTAATTAATAGTCTTTCTGGCCTTTCACTTTCCCCCTTTTCCATAGCGATTTGGGTTGAATTTTTGGTGTAGAATCGACGAAAATGGTTTGAATATACATTTTATGCCAGGTTTTCGTTAATATTCATAATTTTGAGGCGGAAGGATAAGAGCGTTTATAGATTAGTTACGTTGAAGTGTATGGCACACAGTGGCATGTTTACTTGTACCCTACTTGAGTTTATCGACAGATTTCCATGGTGATGGTGAACCTCATACATGCTTTTGAGTAAGAGGTTGCCACATGTTGCTCCATCTCTGGTAGAAAGTGTTCAACCCCACGAAAATCTGGGACGTGAGGACGGATGACGTTCATTTCAATGTCTATCTTTTAACATGAGTTAAGTTGAAGTTTGAGTCGGTCAAACAGACGAGACTTAACATTATAAAGTCAATGGGGAAATTAATGATGTACTATGTCAGATTAATGACACGTAAAAGCTGGAACTATGATAATAGCAGAGTGTCGCGATGACCCACCGAGTAAAGCGCTGGCTCGCTGCGTTTTCCCTGTGTTGACTGAGAAATGCCCCCGTTTTAGTGGTGCAGGATGGAGTATTTGTCCAGGAACAGTGTTTGGTCGTTCGAATAAACCGAAGTCCCGAGTACCTGTTGACGTGGACGTAAAATAATCCTTAACAGTGTGATACAATGCGGTGAGTCCGGCAAGAGAGAGGGTCTAGTCTTTAGGATAGGACGAGAAACCAAATCCCGTGTACAATTTGACGTGCACATAAAAGAATCCTTAACATTTGTAATTTGAAATACGAGTAGGCTACAGTGGTGCGAAGTGCTGATTCCGGCAAGAAACAGGATCTAGTCCTTCGGGTGGGACGAAAAACGAAGGTCCCGTGTTCAGGTGAGATTCGATTGCTGTCCGGACAAAATGTCCTTCATAGGACACTGTATGGCGTATGCTAGTCTCCATTATCCCAGTTGATGCTGAGAACCAGGACGTTAAACCCCATTTCATTTATAATTTCACATCATGTTATGGTACTTATCGATAAACTATGGAGAGCGAGAGATAGAGAGAGAGAGAGAGGGGGGGGGTTAAACGTCCACTCGACACAAACTAGCTCATTTAGGACCAACATATCGTCGCGTTTCTGGCGAAGCGACGAATCTGATA